AATTCAAGAAAATATTATGAATTTTCAATTTTAAAAATAAAATAATGCTATCAGCATCAATATATGACAATTGTGTAGCCCTTTACAATTTTTCAAAACTACTAAATATATTATTGAAAGTAGGCTTCTAAAGGTCATATGCCATACATTTTTTACTTATTTATATGAGATACTCAGATAAGTGCACTTAAGTGAAAGTTTTAGGTTGAAATAAACATAAAATAATCATGATAAGTAAATATAATTTAATACAGTCACATTTTCTGAGCACATCGAATATATTATATCTAGAAGATGCAGCACAAGAAATGTTATACAGGCAAAAAAACAGAAAATGAGAACAACAAATTGAGCTACTTATATATTCTATTACAGTATACATCCTACAATCAGAGGAACTGGTATCCCAGGAGAGGAAAGATGGCACGATTCCATAAGTATGTATGTGAGAGAGGAGGTGATATTTCATGAAAATGATTTTTTTGGTCAGAAATCAAACTTCAACTCATGCCCACAAGTATACAATATTATATTTTGAAGACCAATAGAAAGCTAGTTGTTTCTAGAAGAAAAATAAATTATTCTTGCTGGAATTCTAGTGGAAAGTACAGAGGCTGGTGCCAGATTTTATTGTTAAAAATAAGAAAATGAGTAAAAAATTGGTACTTTTGAAATAAAACTACATTATATTAAATATACATTGGACCTTCAAGTTATGACTGGTCTGACAAATAAAAAATGGGTTGTGACTGGAATTTTAGTTTTAACTTACAACCAGAGTCTTGAGTTACAACACAAATGGTGGCAGCTTGTGCTTCCAGATGACATCAGATACAGATTTAACCCTTAAAGAGTTCTGGAAGGAACATGACAACATCCTCTCCTGTGAGGGGTTAATTGAGAAATCCTGGGCAATGTCTCTCTAAGGACACTGAGATCTGCCTATGTACAGGAGAGACTTTGAAGGCTGTGTGGAGGAGCCTAAGCCTTCATTGACCAACTTGTGTTACAACCGCCCCTTGGGAACAAACTGAGTTTGTAGGTCAAGGGTCCACTGTAAATGACATTATATAATAGAATATGTAACTAATATAGCTTTTCTTAATGTAAATTCAACTTAGCTAAGTATATTCCTAATGTTCTTAAATAGTGATACAATTAATTAATCAATATGACATAAATGAGGAATCTGTAAATGAAATATCTAAGGCTACTCTGCCACTTGAGAAGTAAAATATCAGAAAACAGACTTACGAACATTTGCAGTCCCAAAGCCTTCAGTCCACATCTAAAACCAGTCAGCGTTCACATTCACAGTTGGAGAAATCAGGAAGCAACAGACTTTGTCTTCCATGATTTGCTCTGGGTCTGCAGGATGTGTATGAGATACATGCTAAATTTTTATTCTGTCCAAGTAGCTCAGAGTTTCTGATCTGGGAATTGTCCTAACTCAACCGAGAAATAAGTCGCTGACACTACCTGGACTGATTATGGCTCTGAGGTCATCTGATTATTTTCATTATTTATATGAATTACCCAGAAACCGGTGTAATGGACCAGTGTTCTGAAGATCTGAGGTTTGGTCTTAATTGGAGAACAAGTCCTGAATACACAGATCCTAACTATAATGCTAATTTTCAGTTGTTCTTGGTCAAATGTGGCCTGTATTCAAATTCTACTTCAATAATTATAGATATCTAAAGATTATTTCATCATCATATCCAAACAGTAATGCTATTCAAAACATAATCTAAAAATGCCCTGCCCATAAAATCACACAATTTAAGGAAGATGTACATCGCTCCTTAGAGTTTATACCAGTCTTGGGTATGTCTTCTGAAATTGAAGCATTCTTATCTTTCATTTTTACCTATTTTTTATTCGCACATGTCTGCAGTTCATGATGATCCCATTCCTCCTGTGCAGTAAGTACTTGTGCACTACAACACATCTTAGTTCTTTCTTTCCCATCTCCTCTGCTCCTTCCTCCCTCCCTTAATCTCTTGGTCCCCTATTTTTAGTATCCATTCTAAGAATTATCAAGTGTTCAGCTTTCACAAGAATCCTCTTCCAGGTGTATTGAATACTTTGGCCACATGTAATATAAAGCATGAGAATTAGAATGTTTAAGTAATTAAATAATATAATTAGAGGTGATAGGTATACAGTGTCTGGAACTTATTAGGCACTAAACATATATAAACCATTTCAGCTAAAATCCTTCTTGACATTTGTTTTAAAAAAATAAATAACTCACCTTAAAGTTGATAATATTTATTGTGTTTCTGAAGGTTTTCATTCTGCCTTCATTTTAAAATCACTACAAATTTCACTCATATATTCATACACAGTTGTATGTGGTGGTTAGTTGCATAGACTCGTATTTATGACTTTATTCTTTGTAATCACCCACTTTCATAGTATTTACCCCACCTTCCACTCTCCATTCATCATTTGTTATATTTTTATTCTATACTCCATTTGTCTGCCTATACAATATTTCAAAAATTGCTTTCATGTTCAACCAATTGAACTTGATATTTCTATATATGTCCTAACTAGCTAAATTACCCTTAATATTTAAATACATTCTATTATGTGAAACTACACTTGGGTGGGTGAACAAACGTAGACACATGAAATTCTGTTTAGAAATTTCTGCCCCTCCCTTTGGGTTGTCTCACATTGAATTATGTATATATTTTCCCTATTACCAATAATAATGCATTTATAGAATCATATGACCAGCACCAAATAGTACTTTGGGCTTTTAAGATTATATATAATATGTAATGGGTAACATTTACGTATAATTAAGTTATACAGATTATGATTGTACCTGTGAATAGCATTAACTTTAAAGAGTTCAGGTTTTCCTTGACAAAAACCACGTAAGACAAGAACACCTATGATAATTTCTCTCTAAGGCTGCGAGAAGTCTAAATGCATCATCTGCCACACTTCGGAAAGCGTTCTGGGCCATGATTTCCTCAGCCCTGTCTCAGGTTGTTTTAATGACACCCCGTGTTCACAAAACACCGGGGATTCAATCCTCCAAGGACCAAAGCCAAAAATAAACCCAACAGGCAGGAAATTAAGAGAAAAAGGGCCAAACTGCCTCTCAATACCAGGTAAGAGTCCTCTTTCTGTGTTGTAACACTAGTTTATAAAAGCCTTCTGGGATTTTCAAAACGTGCAATTCTCAGTGTACACTGTGAATACAGTGTGACAGAAAGTCTTCCACATCGAGTCCTTTCCAGAACCTGGAATGAGCTCCATAGAATCAGGCCACTGTCAAAGTTAACCAGCTTTCTTGCAAATCAGTGTAAATTTGTTCTACATTTCCATGATTAGCTACATTTAAGGATTTATGTCTTTAATTTTTGTGAGTTGCAAAAAAGAATGTATAAGAGAACTATCACAAATTCTGAGACTAATTCATCTGAACTGTTTAATTTTGCTAAATTGGATGAAAAGAGCAAAGATTTCACTGTCTCTATTAACAGAGCTAATTTTCAGGCTCAAACATTAGTTTATTGGTCTTTTTTATTCATTAAGTTCATTGGTATTTTTAGGTATACATTATGATCATATTCGTCA